CCACTGGGAATCGAGCCTGCAACCCAGCCATGTGCCCTTGACTGGAATCCGACCCGGGACCCTTCAGTTCACAGGCCGATGCTCTATCCACTGAGCCAAACCAGCCAGGGCCCTTCTAGCTCTTTCAGCTCCTGATATATATTTGAGGTATAATTCACATACTATAAAATTCACCTTTTTTTTGCCACTTATTTTATTGGATAGCTTGTGCCAGACACATAGCAGCGTTATTTATAAATAGCTAAGATCTGGAAACAGCCCAAGTGCCCATCAGTAGATGAGTGGATAAAAAAACTATGGTACATTGACACCATGGAATATTATGCAGCAGTAAAAAAGGACATCTTACCCTTTGTGACCACATGGATGAACATGGGGAGTATTATGCTAAGTGAAATAAGCCAATCAGAGAAAGACAAATGCCATATGATCTCACTCATAGGTGGAATCCTAAAGCCCCTGGAATCCCCCCGAGAGATGTGCCCGTTATATGCTGATAAGATGACTGGGAGCACCGGGGCCCCCCGAGCTTCAGGATGGGGGCTGGTGGCCAGGAAGACCAGGGCATGAATGGAGAGGTGGAACTTGCGGGCCCCACCCCGGACCTCCAGAGAGGTGAGCGGGGCTGGACATTGAGTGGAACCACCAATTGCCGGTGATTTCATCACTCCTGTTTACATAACGAAATCTCCATTACAAACCCCAAAGCTATGGGAGTCAGTCAGCATCCCAACTCCCCAGCAGAGAGGCTTCAGTGCTAGGGACCCGCCCAGACCCTGCCTACGCACCTGTGCGTTTGCATCCCGCATAATAAATCAGTAATAGAAGGAAAGCAAGGTCCTGAGTTCTGGGAGCCGTTCTAGCAAGTGATCGGACATGGAAGTCCCTGATTATAGTCGGTCGGTCGGTCAGAAGTACAGGTGGCAACCCAGGGGCTTGCAACTGGCGTCTGAAGTGGGGGGTGGGAGGGGTGAGGAGGTGGGAGGGGTGGGGGTGGGGCTGAGCCCCTCACCTGTGGGATCTGATGCTAACTCTGGGTAATTAGTGTTACAATTAAACTGAATTGTAGGACACCTTTTTTTTTTAACCCTCACCAAGGATATTTTTTTCTATTGATTTTTTGAGAGGGTAGAAGGCAGGGGAGGGGGAAGAGAGAGAGAGACATCGATGTGAGACAGACACATTGATTGTTTGTATCTTGTGTGTGCACCAACTGGGCCAGGGATTGAATCTGCAACAGGAGTGCGCACCCTTGACCAGGAATTGAACCGGAGACCCTTTGGTGCACCGGCAGGTGCTCCAACCACTGAGCCATACCGGCCAGGGCAGGCTGCCCTTTTAAAAAAACTGTTTTTGATGTCAGAGAGGAAGGGAGAGGGAGAGGAGAGAGAAATATCAATGATGACAGAGAATCATTGATCAGCTGCCCCCTGCACGCCCCCACTGGGGACCGAGCCCACAACACAGGCATGTGCCCTGACAGGGAATCAAACCATGACCTCCTGGATCATAGGTCAACACTCAACCACTGAGCCACACTGGCCAAGCAGAACGGCCATTTTAAAAAATATATATATTTTATTGATTTTTTACAGAGAGGAAGGGAGAGGGAGAGGGAAAGAGAGAAACATCAATCAGCTGCCTCCTGCACACCCCCTATTGGGGATGTGCCCGCAACCAAGGTACATCGATTCCTTGACCGGAATCGAACCTGGGACCCTTCAGTCCGCAGTTCGACTGAGCCAGACCGGTTAGGGCAGGACGGCCATTTTTAACCGGAGAGCTGGAGAACTGGTTGGTGTGTAGGGGGACACCCCCACATTTGGCGTCAGCAGTGTTGTGAGTAAAGCAGACCCCCCATACCACAAGCCACGGGGTGGAAGCTGAGTGTGGCTTCCACACGGTAGGAAGGCCCCGCAACTAACCCTGCGCCCCAGGCAGCCGACCAAGCCGATAGCAGCCCGGGGAGGAGGCGCAGGCGCCCAGAGGCAGAGCCGCGGGCACAGCTCAGAACACTCTACCCTCGAACTAAAACGGCCAGACACCAGCGCACAGGAGGAAAGCCAGAGACGGCACAGGGACTTCTTCAGCAACAGCACACGATTTCTTGAACTTAAGAAATTCAGTTAAAGGAGAGCAGGTTCTCTACTGAGATCCAGATTAGATCGAGTGCTAGAAACGTCTCAAAACAAAGAGCAAAATGATAGAGCGCTCGGAGGGACCTGCTTGAAGAAAAGACTAGCCGCCCTGACTGGGTGCTCAGTTGGTTAGAGCATCGTCTGGCTGCACCAAGGTTGCGGGTTTGATCCCCCGACCGGGGCACATCCAAGAGTCAACCAGTGAACGCATCCACAAGTGGAACAACAAATCATGTTTCTCTTGCCCGGCCGGCGTGGCCCAGGGGTTGAGCGTGGACCTAAGAACCAGGAGGTCACGGTTTGATTCCCCGTCAGGGCACATGCCTGGGTTGTGGGCTTGATCCCCAGGAGGGGCCGTGCAGGAGGCAGCTGATCAATGATTCTCTCTCATCATGGATGTTTCTATCTCCTCCTTCCTCTCCCTCTCTGAAATCAATACAAATAAGTTTTTAAAAATCCATGTTTCTCTCTCTGTCTCAAGTCAATTAAAAAAAATTTTTTTAAAAATAAAAAAGTGTTCTAAAGTTCTCATCTTACTGGGTGAAGGAGAAGACGAGAAATGGACCGAGGAGTCGGGGCGACCGTGCGCTTAGGGGCAGGACTGCGCCTCTGAGGATCAGAGGAAGGAAATTCATCACGTAACCAAGGGGGGAAATTCATCTCTTGCAACCAAGCCTGGGAACCCAGGAGCTGGGGAAGAAAAGACGGACATATTTGACTATGTCAACATTAGAACGTTTTGTGTGACAAACGATGCCATAAATAAGGCCAGCTCAAATGGCGGCGCTGGAAAAAGATTTGTCACATAAATAACAGTCACAACTGCCGTTGAGGAACGTACTGCGCGCCGGGCACCGTGGTCTGTACGTTCCAGGTCCTGAGTCATGTATGTCCAGAACAAACACTACGAAGTGGGATGGCGAGGATGAGGGTGACGGCGACGCCCCGTAGGTGAGCCCACGGAGGCCTGACCAGCTTAACGGACTTGCCGAGGTCACAGCGGGTCCGGGGCGGAGTTCTGAGTGACCCTTGGCCGCCGGCCCCAGAGCCACGGCTCTCAATCACTTCTGAGCAATTCAGCCAAAGGCCAACGGACACTAAATAAAGAGCTTTTACGGACTGACCTGAGCAAGACAAACAACCGATACAGAAATGGACTTAGCCTATAAATAGACCATCGATAGGCAGCCACAACCAAATGGCCAGTGCACAGACAAAAAGACCCTCACGTCCAACACAGGTCAGGAAAGTGCCAATGGAGGAAGCAATGGGACCTCCCTACGCATCCATGAGAGTGACACGGACAAAAACAAGCGGCCACAGCAAATGCTGCCAGGAATATGGAGGAAAGGGCGCGCTCGCTCACACATGTGAAGGTTTGCAGCCATTGCGGAAAGCAATCTGGCAACATCTGTTACAATTGAAACTAAACATACCCTTTGACTCATTAATCCCACTTCTGGGAATCTGTCCCAAAGAAATAAAAAGACCACTAGTTAAGGATAAGGATGTTTATTGGAGCTCGTGTGTGTGTGGGGAGGGGGGGGTGCGGGAGGGGGGAGCAACAAAGCAAATGCCCATCTAAAGAAAAAGGGGAGGATGGAATGGATTATGCTATATCCTTCCAACACACATTTTAAAAAATATATATTTTTATTGATTTCAGAGAGGAAGGGAGAGGGAGAGAGAGAGAGAAACATTAATGATGAACCCGGCAGGCGTGGCTCAGTGGTTGAGCATGGACCCATGAGCCAGGAGGTCACGCTTTGATTCCTGGTCAGGACATATGCCCTGGTTGCAGGCTCGATCCCCAGTGTGGGGCATGCAGGAGGCAGCCAATCAATGATTCTCTCTCATCATTGATGTTTCTGTCTCTCTCTCTCCCTCTCCCTTCCTCTCTAAATCAATTTAAAAAAATATTTTTTAAATGTGGTGGATCCATACAATGGAATATTATAAAAAGGAATGAGTGTTGACACATCCTACAATGTAGGCGGACCTTGAAAGAATGCTAAGCAAACAAAGCCACATGAAAGGCCCATGTTTTATGATTCCAATGATACGAAATGTTCAGAACAGGTAAATCCTGAGAGACAGAAACCAGATTAGTCCAAGGATCAGGGAAGAGGGAATGGGGCGTAACTGCTTGGTGAGTATGGGGGCTCCACTGGGGGTGATGGAACTGTTTGAAACTGGATAGAAGTGGTGGTTGCAAACATTGTGAATGGACTAAATGCCACTGAATTGTTCACTTTAAAAATGGTTCATTTGATGTCATGTAAATTGCACCTCAATATTTTGTTTAAAAGGACCTTGAGGAATTTTTGCCTAAGGGTGTAATGTTTGGAGCAGCTGAGCCCCTTGGTAGTGTGAGGAGGCAAGCAGATGAAAGGATGGCCGAGCAGAAAGATGGAAAGAACCTGGGCTCTTTGGCGCGTTCTGGGAATGTGATTTCTGTACTCCTGATGATGCAATGTAGTAAGTAAATGCCTTCTTTTCTTACAACCATTTCTAGTGGGGTTTTCTGTTACTTGCAGCCTAATCGATATGGACTTCAAGGTTCTGGAAAAGGAAGGCAAAGGCATTTCAGTTTATAAATAGCTAATGATGAAGAATTCTCAACAGTAGTTAATTCTCAGGGTTAAGCATGGAGTGTGTGTGTGTGTGTGTGTGTGTGTGTGTGTGTGAGAGAGAGAGAGAGAGAGAGAGAGAGAGAGAGAGAGAGAGAGAGAGGGAGATTCTCAAACGAAGCCCAGTCTCAGCCTCCCTGTTGTGTCTAGCCAGTCTTAGTATTACAAAATCAGGGTGGACTTGCTTTAGGTGCAATACTGAAATAATTATAGGCTTGTCGGCTCTGAGAACTACAGGCAAGATGGAACCGCTGGCCCCACCATTGAGAGTGTGTGCGGCTTCCCTGGGGATTCGAGAACTTCACGTTGAACACCGAGATGCCACCAAACACTGTTGAAAAGCCGCCCTTTCTCTGTGCGAGGTGTCAGTCCTCCGTGGTGAAGGTGAGCGCGTCCCTTTTCAAAGTCGGGGTGACTTTCCTGCATCACGAGGCTGTGACTGGGGGGAAGCAGAGAAAGGGTGGTTCTCTCTCCACCTCTCCTGTCCCTCACCTCCTCGTGGTTCCGGAGAGCCCTGCCTACTCGGCTCCTGCTCTACACACACAGAAAGGTTTCAGGAAGGGGCGATTGGGGCTGGGCGGGGTTTTTTGAGGACGTGTAAAGGTTAATGTTAGGGATCAGTACTTGAAGGGCTGGATCTGATCTTGCTCTCACTGTGTTTCTTGGCAGTTAGGCGTAAGTCGTTGTGTAATGTGTAAACTGTGGAAATAAATGACTGAAGTCGCCTCGGTAAAAACCTGTTCCACGGCGGATGGATGAAGGGAAACAGATCCTTTATCTGTGCTCATTAAGGTGCGATGTGTGCAGGTAAAGGTGGCAGGGAAGTGTCCGCCATGACAGTGCGTGGAGGTTGGTTCCTCTGAGACGCTCTCGGGGCTGTGGAATGGCATTCCTCTCTTGTCTTCACATCTTGGTGGTGGTTTTTTCCACTCAGCTGGGAACTCATAATAGTCAATGGGTCTTGTCTAGAAAGAGGTGAGCTGTTTATTCCAGAAGACTTGACTCGCCTGGAATGTGAGGTATTTCCAAAACAATGAGTAAATGAGCTAAAATAAAAGAAGAAACAAAATACAAAACCCTGCTGACTTTCAGAGGGCCCGGGGGATGAGGACAAAGTCTAACCCAGGCCAACCGCCTGGCGGGGGGCGCGGGCCCTGCTGGGGGCCAGCTGCAAGGAAAGGAAGAGGAAAGAGGAATAAAACCTTGTTCTCTGAGATTTGTCCCTCCAGTTACTCTTATGTGCTTTGAAAGCTGCTACTTCCTTAGCTTTTCTATAGACTCCAGGGGATAATTAAAATACACAAGAGATTGGGCCCTCGCTGGTTTGGCTCAGTGGATAGAGTGTTGGCCGGTGGACTGAGGGTCCCAGGTTCGATTCCAGTCAAGGGCATGTACCCCAGCCCCCAGTCGGGGCAGGTTTGGCAACCAGTCAATGTGTCTCTCTCACATAGATGTTTCTCTCTCTCTCTCTCCCCTCCCTTCAAAAAAAAAAAGCAATCAGTGAATGCAAAAATAAGTGAAGCAACAAACCGATGTTTCTCTCTTCACCCCCCTTCTCCAAAACCAACCAACCAATCAATCAATCAATCAAGAGAGAGAGAGAGAAGCACCAGCATATGCTTTCGTATCATTTGATGAGGAAAGTTTTCCTAGATATTCTGGCTCCATGTGACCAAAACATCAACTACAGGACTTGTGACATTACGGGTTGAGGATGAGGGGAAGAAATTTTGTAAATTACCACTTCTCCTTTTGAGTTATGAAATATAGTATGGGTTATGAGTAATATATCCTTTTGAGACTTAAAAAAGAACCAAATCTATATTAAAAACGTTGGGGGGAAATGAGTTGACAATCTTGGTTTTGTGATAATGCGATAATTCGATTCCTCCTGGTTTATCGCATGATCTCTTTTAATACTGTACAAGGAATATCCTAATGCTTCATACGAATATGCATAGCCATATAAATGAGAGATTCTCTTAAGTAGTTTAAGGAAGTTGGATACTGAGTAAATATAATATAAAGAATGAATGGGTGTCCTGACTGGTTTGGCTCAGTGGATAGAGCGTCGGCCTGCGGACTGAAGGGTCCCGGGTTCGATTCTGGTCAAAGACATGTACCTTGGTTGTGGGCACATCCCCAGTAGGGGGTGTGCAGGAGGCAGCTGATCGATGTTTCTCTCTCATCGATGTTTCTAACTCTCTATCCCTCTCCCTTCCTCTCTGTAAAAAAATCAATAAAATATATATATTAAAAAAAAAGAATGAATGGGTGCCCTGGCCTGTGTGCTCAGTGGTTAGAGCATTGGCCCGTGGACCGAAGGGTCTCGGGTTCGATTATTAGTCAACGGCATGTACCTGGTTTGCAGATTTGATCTCCAGCCTCCAGTTGGATAGGTGTAGGAGGCAACCAAACAATGTGTCTCTCTTACATCAATGTGTGTTTTTTTCTCTCTCTGTCTTCCCCTCCCTCCCTTCCACTCTCTCTAAAATCAATGGAAAAAATATCCTCGGGTGAGGATTAACAAAAAAACAAAAACAAAAAAGAATACTGTAAGGTCTCCCATAAGAATGGGTAGAATGAAAAGAACTGACATCCTGGCTGGTGTAGCTCAGTGGTTGTGCGCCAACCCATGAATCAGAAGGTCATGGTTTGATTCCCAGTCAGGGCACAAGCCAGGTTTGCGGCTTGATCCCCAGTGGGGGGGCGTCCAGGAGGCAGTGATGATTCTCTCTCATCATTGATATCATTGATGTTTCCATCTCTCTCTCCCTCTCCCTTCCTCTCTGAAACCAGTAAAAACATATTTTAAAAAAATGAACTGCTACACAAAATAGCATAGATGAATCTTTCATTATTTATTTATTTATTCTTTTATATTTAGATTTTTAATGTTATGTATGTAATATGACCACATTTATGTTGTTTCCCAAATTTGTGTTTGATTTAAATGAAAAAAATCTCATTACTCATTTAATTGCTTTTTTAATGATGACCAGTCAATAGTTGAATACTCATAGATGAATCTTTTAATGTTGAGTAATGAATTCAGACTCTAGGTCAGCCCATTTATAGAAAGTTAAAAACCATGGAAAATGTAATCATCTATGATGATAAAGGTCGCAACAGTGGTTACCTTTGGAGAGAGTATGCTCCAGGAAGGGGTACGAGGTAAGTCGTCTGGGGTCCTAGAATGTTCTAGATTTTGATAAGGATCATTATTATACAGCAGCATAAGCATGTAAAAGGTACCCACTGGTCTATGGTACCTATGACACCAGCATCCACTGAAAAAGAACCTGTTGGCTTCCCCAACTGGATAGACATGATCACCAAAATTAGTCTTTTTCTCTTACTCAAAAACATGTCAAAAACTGCTCAAGGGCTGCCCTAACCGGTTTGGCTCAGTGGACAGAGCGTCGGCCTGTGGACTGAGGGGTCCCGGGTTCGATTCCGGTCAAGGGCATGTGCCTTGGTTGCGAGCACATCCCCAGTGGGGGGCGTGCGGGAGGCAGCTGATCGATGTTTCTGGCTCTCTGTCCCTCTCCCTTTCTCTCTGTAAAAAATCAATAAAATATATTTAAAAAAAAAACTGCTCAAGGGAGGGATCCAATGTGTTTACAATAAACATAGCTTCCAAATCTCTGGGCCCCCGAGAAGCCGTACAAAAAAGACTGCATATCCTACTAATACAATTCTCTCCTCTAAGTAGTCACAGGCATGGACATCTAGCCACCTCATCCAAAACAAGAGATGATGAAATGCGTGAGTCATGAAAATTAAATATAGTGCCTTCACTTATTTTGGGGTTGCTCACTTCCCCTTTTGTCTGTGTGTAAGGAGGTGCTGTCAATAGTTCATGGGATCATGACACATTCAAGGAAAATATTTCACCCAGATAACGCGTAGTCAAAATCCCCCTGGCTCATAGATATTTGTTAAGAGCCTACTATGTGAGGTGCTGTTCCAGGAACTGGGGACAAAATGATGAATAGTGAGGTGATCAACAAGTCAACAAAGGTAACTTTGGGTGGTATTGCAAAGGAGTGTCATTGTCATAGCAAGTTGGTTGGGCTGGTTGGGAAGGCTGGTCAGGGGAAGGGGGAGCGGCAGGCACTGAGGTTAGAGAGACGGCGGGGCAGGCTCATGCAGGACATCCTAAGCCACAGCACGCATGGGCAGGGAGCAGAGTTGTAAAGAGCCAGCTTTTAAACACAGTGCTTTTTAAAAAACGGGACCCTCCATAGGGAATACCTTTTTGGAGGTCCACCGAGAGAAGGGCCTTTTTAATATTTCATCTTCTCAGAACGCATCCTGTTTCTAATTGGAACAAAGGGGCCTGTGGGCCTTAGCCGGCAGCTTGGGTTTTATGCCGAGTGAAATGGGGAGCCAATGGAAAGTGTGAGGTCAGGCATTGAGGATATTTGGCTTATCTCTTTTTATATCTATAATAATAAAAGGGTAATATGCTAATTAGACTGGACATCATTCGACCGGACATCATTCCGGACGTCCTTCTGGACGAAAGCCAGGTCCGGAGGGAAGCACAGGTCCCGGGTGCCAGAGGGAAGATGGTGCCGGCAGCTGGGGGAAGGAACGCCTACTCTTTCTTTCTTTCTCTCTCTCTCTCTATTGATTTCAGAGAGAAAGTGAGAGGGAGAGATAGAAACATCAATGATGAGAGAGAATCATTGATTGGCTGCCTCCTGCACACTCCCCTACTGGGGATCGAGCCTGCAACCTGGGCATGTGCCCTTGGCCAGAATCAAACCTTTGACTCTTCAGTCCACAGGCCAATACTCTATCCACTGAGCCAAACTGGCTAAGGCAGGAAGGCCTACTCTTGCATGAATTTTGTGCATCGGGCCTCTAGTATATATATTGATTTCAGAGAAGAAGGAAGAGGGAGAGAGATAGAAACATCAATGATGAGAGAAGACACATTGACTGATTGCCTCCTGCATGCACCCCGATCAGGGCTGGGGGTCAAGCCTGCAACCAAGGTATGTGCCTTTGACTGGAATCAAACCTGAGACCCTACAGTCCTCAGGCCGATGCTCTATCCACTGAGCCAAACCGGCTAGGGCTGGCTTATGTCTTAAAAATATATTTCGCTAAGACCGGTTTGGCTCAGTGGATAGAGCGTCGGTCTGCGGACTGAAAGGTCCCAGGTTCGATTCCGGTCAAGGGCATGTACCTTGGTTGCGGGCACATCCCCAGTGGGAGGCGTGCAGGAGGCAGCTGGTCGATGTTTCTCTCTCATCGATGTTTCTGACTCTCTATCTCTCTCCCTTTCTCTCTGTAAAAAATCAATAAAAATATATTTAAAAAAATATATATATATTTCGGCAATAGTATGGAGACAAGAGTGGAATAATTTAGAAAAATGATCATAGCTAATAAAAATGGTATAATAAATATAATAGATCTGGCTAATTGTATATATGAACTTCAAATGACCTTATCTTAAAGTAAATTCAAATATATTATTTTTCAAAAAATTACTTCTCACCCAGCCAGTGTGGCTCAGTGGTTGAGTGTTGACCTATGAACCCAGAGGTTGTGGATTCCTGGTCAGGGCACATGCCCGGGTTGTGGGGTCGATCCCTGGTGGGGGGTGTGCAGGAGGCAGCCGATTGATGATTTTCATCATTGATGTTTTTCTCTCTTCCTCTCTGAAATCAATTTCAAAGCATTTTTTTAAAATTACTTCTCTGGCATACCAGAAGCTAACCCTTCACCTATGACAAGGGTGGGGAACACCTGGCCCGCAGGCCATCTAAGGCCGTGAAATCATTTCGTCTGGTCCTGCCAAGGCATTAGCGGTGAGTTAATTAAATGTTTGACCATATATAGCAGGCTAATTTTTTTTGGTTAGTTGTAATTATTTTTAAATAGTTCTTTATTGTTGAAAGTATTACATGTCTCCTTCCCCCCCCCCATTGACCCCTTTCAGCCCACCCGCGCCCCCCACCCCAGGACCTCACTGCCCCATTGTTTGTGCCCATGGGCCATGCATATATGCATACAAGGTCCTTGGTTGACTAGCAGGCTGACTTTTAAGCTGATAATTTTGCATGGCCCCCAAATGATGTTATATTCAAGTGGCCCTTGGCAGAAAAAAGGTTCCCCACCCTACCTGAGATCTGTATTCTGAGCAAGCACACGGGTGTTAGGACTGGAAAAGAACCGTTCTGGCTGAGCTTGAGACGGTTTGGCAGGCGGCTCATTTCCATTTGTGACGGTCTAGTGCCACCCCTTGACCCTTCCATTCCTTGCACATTTATGCCCAAGGATACAACTATGGGCTTTGCTTGCAATGTCAGCCTCACGTTTACTATTCTTAAGGTTCAATACGTAAACATCAAAGAAATACAATCCTAAACAGTGAGACACCACTGTTACCTAGCAAATCAACAAAAAGATTTAAAAATTTTTTAAAAACTTCTATTGATTTCAGAGAGGAAGGGAAAGAGGGAGGTAGAAACATCAATGATGAGAGAAAAATCATTGATCACGCTGTACACAGAGGATGAGCCCACCACCTGGGGATGTGCCCTGACCATGAATCGAACCGTGACCTTCTGGTTCATAGGTCGATGCTCAACTACTGAGCCAAGCCGGCCGGGCAGCAAAAAGTTTTTAAAAGTAAGATGGCTTCGCATTGGAGGACGGGTGCAGGACAGCAGACATTTGCCAAAGCCTCTTGACATGCACGCAGTGGCAGTTTGCATCTAGAGCAGTGATGGCGAACCTATGACACGCGTGTCAGAGGCGACACGCGAACTCATTTTTTTGGTTGATTTTTCTTTGTTAAATGGCATTTAAATATATAAAATAAATATCAAAAATATGTCTTTGTTTTACTATGGTTGCAAATATCAAAAAATTTCTATATGTGACACAGCACCAGAGTTAAGTTAGAGTTTTTCAAAATGCTGACACGCCGAGCTCAAAAGGTTCGCCATCACTGATCTAGAGCCTTAAAAACGGTCTTCATGTCCTTTGATCTGGTAAACATGTTCCTGGGAATGTATCTTAAGGAAATCATTGCAAGTGTGGGAAAGCTTTGCGGGAAATAGTGGTGCAGTCTGTGCATGTCCGGAGACAGCAGGTGAACGGCCACTTACACCGCCTGCAACTAGGAGGCTTTACAAGTGGGGCATTCGGGCTTTGGGAAATTCTGTAACTTGCCAGGGTTCACACAGCTGGTACAGGATAGAACCATATTCAAATCCAGATGTGTTTTATTCCAAAACCCATGCTTTAAATCATGATGCTGATATAGAAACAAGTATTTTCTCAACTGGCACAAAAAGGCCAACCAATCCTCGTATCATCAAGTTATTCACAAGCGTAGCAACAGATTACGAAGGCGGAATAAGAGCTATGATTATTTTTGTGCCCGGCCGTGTCTGCTGGCTTTTCGGCGCCATGCTGCCCTTCTGGGCCATCCTCCTACTTGGGGCTTACAGCCTGCACACGCCACGCCCCACGCTCCCGGCCAGATGGCTTCCTGCTCTGTCCCGTCGTTTCTTGGCACTGGCACAAGGATCAGAGGTTGGTACTTCCCTTCAGTAGTGGCTTGGCAGAGGCAGCCACAGCGGAGGATGCCCGAGGACGGCTGTGGGCTGCGGTGGTGATGCCGCAGCAGTACTGGAGGGAGGAGACTCAGCCCCCAAGCAGAGCAGCGGGCTCCACCAGCTCCGTGGAGAATGGGGGCTGGAGGCTCCAACCCAGGGGCAGGAAGGGGCAGCTCCCCGATCTTAGACTAATAGCCCTTTCCCTTGTGCCTCCCAAGTGGCCTCCCTCCATCCCCCTTTTGGCCTTTTGGTTCTTTTAACAACTTTGGAACCAATTTCTGGCATTCAATCCATCTCCACTTGAATTATCTGGAGTGTTTTCTATTTTCCTGTCTGGCCACGAACTGACATACTCTGTATCTGCAGCAAAAATTACATACTTTTAAAAAAATCCTCACCCGAGGATATTTTTCCATTGATTTTTAGAGAGAGGGAAAGACAGAGAGAAATAACAATGTGAGAGAAACACACAGATTGGTTGCCTCCTGCACGTGCCCTGACCAGGGCCCGGGTTGGGGAGGAGCTTGCAATTGAGGTACCTGCCCTTGACCCCTTGACTGGAATCAAACCTGGGACCCCTTGGCTATCCACTGAGCTAAACTGGTTAAGGCAAAAAATTATATACATGTTTACTAGAATAACACTAGTTAGAAGGACATTCTGGCCTGGCTGGTGTGCCTCAGTGGTTGAGTGTCCACCTATGAACCAGGTCAGGGCTCATGCCCAGGTTTCAGGCTTGTCCCCCAGTAGGGGGCCTGCAGGAGGCAGCTGATGGATGATTCTCTCTCATCATTGATGTTTCTCTCTTTCCTCCCTTCCTCTCCGAAAAAAAAAAAAAAAAAGATTGACATTCTTATTTTTATATGTGGAAGAAATAGGCTATAAGTACTCGCTTTTCTTCTGCGGGGAGCAAAATATCTTTGCATTTTGTTTCCTTCATATATGGTAAGAAAAATTGTCTCTCTAAGTTATACACGTAACTTGGCAAATAAAAGATTTATTAACTCAGGATATAACTTTTTTATGGGACAAACTACCAAGTGTCTTAGCATCACTTGTCAGATAATATTTGACAGCAGCTATAACACAGAGATTGCACAATTTTAACAACCGTAATAAATATGGTCAGTTGATAGCGGGCTCCAAACTTCCTCTGGCTCTTCCTGAGAAAGGTTTGATGACTGACTATGATCCATTAAGAAACATCTAAATGGGAAGAAACACAGAAGTATTTTTATGAATGTCATTTAGGTTTTTGTTTTTTTTTAAATAGAAAATGCTCAGATAAACTAAAGAACTTAAGGTTTAACTGTATTGCTAAAAATCGACACATAACATTCTTGGGCAGTTCAGATGACTAGGACTATAGAAAAACCTATTTTTAAGGGCCACAAATTCATCTCCTAAATTCATATTCTCCCTTTTTGAAAAAAGCAATTTTATGCCACTGAGCACAACAGACTTGGAAGTTATTAATGAAAGTTAACAACACGTAGTCTTATTTTAATATGTCTATTTTGAACCAAAGGAGAGAAAACCCCCCACAAAATTTAGGTTTACTAAAACTACTAATTCATGATCAAAATAAAAATATTTACCTTATATTTAAATTCAAAATAGAAGCAGAAGTAATTTACATGCATATTTTATATATAAAGACATTTGGGAGAATATATACCAAAATGTTAACAGTGATACTCTCTCTTGGTAGTGAGATTTCAAGAGATGAAGAACTTTGTTTTTTTTGCTCTTGCAAATTTCTCTTTTTTCCTTAGGGAACACTTATGTCTTAGGTAACTAAAAAAGGAGAAGTAAAAGCAATTGATACTCAAGCACCACATTAACCAAGGCCTTTGGAAATGTAGTGTCTCACTTGCTTCAGTTTGAAAAGCAAGCCTTAAGGAGGAAGCTGGAAAGCAGGTGGCCCAGGAGTAAAGCCAGAGCTGGCCCAGGGTCAGTGACTGGCTAGAAGCCACATGGCCGCTTGGTGCAGAGCTCAGAGGAGAGCCATGGCCTCTTCATTGCTGGCCTGGGACTCTCTTATAAAAAAAGGAAAATATAAAAAATATATGCAGTCACATGTGAAAACACAGTGATCTCCAGAACAAGTCTGGCTCAATGTCAAGACCCTGGAAATAGAAATGGTGTCAGGCTGGTGAGAGTCCAGGTAACTGCGGGCAGCTTTACCTTCAGAATCTCACAGGGCGCGGCGTCTGCGGGCACGGGGATCCCACGGTGCTTTGAGTACTCACTTATAAAGACGGAAGCTTCATCTATACTACAGCATCAGAGAGAAAAAGAAGGGCATGAGGAAAGTTTTGGGGGTGGGAACTATGCTCGCTAACTGGATTGTGGTGATGGCGTCACCGGTGTAGACATGTGTCAAAACTCATCAGATTGCATGTCTGAAATATGTGCAGCTGGTTCTATATAGATCACGCATCAAAAAATAACGCTCGTTCACAAATGACAGCAAGTGATTATGGTTGGACCCCAGTGACACACAAGCAGAAAGAGATCCGTGCTGTGGTCAGGAGGGAAGCACGCCTCCCATGTGATCAGCACAGCTAGGTGAACGGAGGGATAGACCCAGGAGGCATGGTAATCCCTTGCCTTTCTTCAGGGTCACCCCATTTCTTCTTTCTCCTTTTCACTTTACAGATCTGTTCCCAACCTTATCCCAAGAGAAGCTTGTTGTTTCCAAACTTGTGGATGCTGGAAAATTAGATAACCAAGCTTGGCCAACATTATGATACATGAGCCATCAACTCTGAGCAAACACTAAGAACTAAAGCTGTCATGTAGGGTTTCAGAGCAGAGCTGTGAGACACCTACTTTGGGGGTTCAGACTTGTTTGTCTGATTCCAAGTGCATGTTCCAAGGGACTGGGCTACAAGACAATTGACCTCTGGGTACGGGTAGTAACGCTACAAGGTAACGTTTGGAGCCTTGAGTTATAACCAAACAGCTCTATAATTGTTTGATGTCTTCCTCCAAAATAAAGATACAACTTAAGGACATTCTATGGTAAGTTTTTTTTTTTTTAATTGACTTACCTTACTTCATTTGCCAAATAGTTTACCAGGTCAGTGATGTTGTTGGTGTTTATCAGGTGCAGTTTCAACACTTGAAAGTATTTTGTCTTCGCCAAAGTCCCAAACTCCTTCTTATTTCTGATATTATTCAGAACCAGATTTTGAATCTATAGAATGACAGGTATCGTCATATTAACAATGTGTTAAATGCCAAGTCCTAGTTAATTCCGAAACATTTCTGACAATCCGGAGTGAGACTGTCATCGTGATGTAACTCACTCCTTTGTGAGGGGGTGGGCCGGGGGCCGGGGACTGTGTTGGCCCGTTTCAGTACTGTATACAGTGAATCAGTAGGAAGTAATTGTGGTTAAGCACTTTGGGACTTTTAATAAAGCACAGCAATAAACAAGACAGCCAGGGTCCCCGCCGTTAAAAAAATGTATAGGTTTTAATAAAAGCCAATGAATAGTATGTATTAACGAAAAGATTGAGACAGTAATTTTCCGCTTCATCCAGGTTTCGGGAAAACGATTACCTTCTAATACCTAATTTTTCATAGCAAAAAGGAGATGAAATTTTCTCTTACTTGATGTGAAAACCCTGCCAGCTGGCCAGTGCTCATATGCTCCTCCAATTGCTGTAAAATGACCTGAGGGCTGCACGAGTTCAGAAAGGTCTAGAGAAACAAATCAAAACATAGTTGACGGAAAAGCATAATTACTACTCATGTCTGTCCAATCTGTAAAGTATTCACTTTTTAAATTTGAAATACCTTAAAGGATTTCTATTATAGGAAAAAATGCCTCTGTCAACCAAAAATTATTGAAATAAGGTAAGAAGCATTTTACAAAAATGCCCATTCCAACAGTAAGAGCTGTTTGATAACAGGCATGTTGTCATTCTAAGTGCCAAAAGGAATCTATTTAAATACTAGCACTCGGAAGAGCAGCAACAGATGAGGTTATGAATAGTCAGGAAAGAACAAAGTCAAAGATAAGCACAGACGGCTTTGAAAAAAATAAAACGAGTAGAACAAACGACAAATGAAACATTTCCAGATGCTTTGTTCTACTTGTTCTGTGTTACAGCAGGAATGAGAGTTTTTTTGTTTGGTTTGTCCTCACCTGAGGATATTTTTCCATTGATTTTTTAGAGAGAGTGGAAGGGAGGGGGAAAGACAGAGAGAGAAACATTGATGTGAGAGACACACTGACTCATTGTCTGCTGCACACTCCCCGAACTGGGCCAGAGATTGAGTCTGCAACTGAAGTACGTGTCCTTGAATGGAATCGAACCTGGGACCCTACAGTCCGAGGGCTGGTGCTCTAACCACTGAGCAAAATGGCAAGTTATTTTTTTTTAAGTTTTGTCCTTAGAGTCCTTGCGGCTCCCTTTGTGGCACCCACACACAGACCTGACTCTCCGCTCTCTTCTACCTCCCTCTTCCAATCACGAAGTCAAGCTGCCCTCCTCGTAGTCTTCTCCCTTCAGTTCACTTTCATTCATTGCTACCACCTACTTTGAGGATTGATCCCCTCACGCTTTCCTGGCCTCTCCACAAGGTTGCTGTGCATGGATTTAGTGAGATAATAGCTTCCCCAGAGTTTCATTTCTTGACACCTCTTTCCTCTGGTCAAGCTGACGTGGATTATTCCTTCTGAAATATTTCTGATCGTTTCACTTTACTCTTCTGGGAAAACTGTTCCCTACTGACAAAGATGCACTCTTAAGGCTTCCCTCAGACTAGCTTCCATCTAGCTTCCAGTCTTACCTTCCACTAACCCTCCACCCCCACCCCACAATCCTGTTCTGTCCACACTGATGTGCCCCTGCTCTGCTGGTTTGGTGAAAAGAACACACAACCTTTCTCAGGGGACATGCAGTTCTAAGACCTTCCATTTCTTTGGCAGCCCCAGAGCATACTTTCCCGGATACCTTGATATGCTGGTGTCTTTTCTCTGAGTGGGGCAGGAGCATGAGACAGGCTAACGCAAAAGCTGGAAGCTCTAACTGGACATACTGCCTGGCGACTCCAACCATGTCGAGATCATCCGAAACGGGACATCTTGGAGAGAGCACGCGATTAGTCACGAGATGACCCTGTCCGAGTCCCTTGTTTCTAGTGGTCCCCACCTGTTACTTGCCTATGCTTTCAGTAATCTTAAGACACTGAAGTGCTGTGCATAACACCTGCTTAGCAGTGAGCAACTCACGTCTGCTATGGCATTCTTCCTGCAGTAAAAGGATCTACCCACAGGAATGCAGACCACTGGCTGCTGCTATGATTATGTCTGAAAGCCTCCACATAAAGACAGACTTTCTACGAGACAACACTGTGTCTGTCACTCAGGCTAGTCACAAACGGTACTCTATACTCACACTGACATTGGGGACCAATGGCATATCCGGTTACCAGTGGTACCACACATGGAAAGTAGACATTATAAAAATAAGAGAGATTTAATTTAAAAGCAAGTGGTATGTTTACCTTCCCAAGATAAAGAAACTACCCCGTAACAGATATCTATTAAAAAGGAATTTCACAAGCAATAAATTGGATTTTTTTTTTGGTAGGAAAACAAATATTTCACTTACTCGAGAATAGCAATGAGACTCTCACAACAATCTGATAACTGGCTGGGGCTCAAAGGACAAGAGGCTGAAAATAAACAAATAAAAACAATGTGTACACACGCACAACCACAAAATGCGACCCTCCATGGCCCAGAGGAGGGGGCAGTACCTGAAAGCAGCGGGACCTGGACCACACGCTGCCAGGCCTTGCTGAAGTAGGGCACCTGTGGGGACAAGTGTGTCAGAACGCACGCCTGGGCCAGCAGAGGCTGCTGGACAGTCACAACACGCACACCCAGAGCTCACATGCTGGATGCTCAACCAAAGTCCTCAACTGATACCTCTGTGTTTGAGGTGATTAGACTGTAGGATAATTTTTCAGCAGCCCTGGCCGGGTAGCTCAGTTACAACAAATCAACATTTCTCTTTTTCTCTTTCTCAAATGAATTAAAAATCCCACTTAATTGTACATTTTAAAAGGGTGAATTTTACATGTGAATTATAAATGTTTTTGATTGTTAATCCTCACTCGCAGATATTTTTCCATTGCTTTTTAGAGAGAGCGGAAGGGAGGGGGAGAGACAGAGAGAGCGCAACATTAATGTGAAAGACACATCGATTGGTTGCCTCCCGCATGTGCCCTGACTAGGGCCAGGGATCAAGCCTGCAACCGAGGTACGTGCCCTTCGTTGGAATTGAACCCGGCACCCTTCAGCCCATGGGCTGAGGCTCTATTCACTGAGCCAAACTGGCTAGGGTGTGTGTGTGTGTGTGTGTGTGTGTGTGTGTATACATATTTATGTAATAATGATGATGTGGGTGCACAACTTATGAAATTTAGAAAAAAATGACGTGGTCTCTGACTTTAAAGATCTTCAAAGTCCACGAGGGGTGGTCGAACGTGTAATTAGGGTAAACTGTGCTCTGACAACCATCACAGATGAGCCAGCGCTTTGAGGTGTGAGGCACGGAGCCTGGAGAACTGGGGACAGTGAGGTCTTGGAGGAGGTGACATCGGAGCTGAGTGTTCCGAGTGTGAGCACCACTGCCAGGAACATCCTCCCACAGCCGATCCGTTCTGTCCTTTATTAAGGAGACAGTCACTGACCGGGCGTGCCCAGGAGTCACCAGGCCAGAGAGTATAGAGATTAAATTCTATAAAACTTACTTAAAAAAAAAAATTACATACCTGCCACAAAGAATGGATGCTAGAAATGGCTGTTAAAACTTTCCTTAGATAAGGAATCTGTGGGAAAATAAACAAAAAACGAAATGTTCCAAAGATCACCAAAACCGAAAATTTCCACATGAGATATCGGATTCTTTCAAAGGGAGCATCAGTCAAATTCATCTTCCCTGAGAACCACCGGGGCAGTGCGCTTACACATCCACGAACATCAAACGAGGCCAGGGAGCCCTCCCTCCCTGCTTCCTGGGAGATCTGCATCATTCTGAGCCTGCACTTTCTCGGGCCTCACATGAAGTCCTGAGCCAGGGAGGGTGACGTTTGCAGCATGCATCCGTTCAGTAGCGAGCATCGCCGGCAACGGCTGAAGCGCTGCCGGGCCAGAGCTGGAAACGACACTGCAGGGGAGGGTACCAAGTCTTACCATGTTGAAGCCAAGAAGCTTTTGCAAGAGTCCGTTCCACAGCTGCAGGTCATAGATTTTGTATTCTAAGCAAAGCTCAGTCACCAGTCTCACTGCCTACGGGAGAGAGAAGAGTCGTACTGCTCTCCGGCACCAGACAGTCAAACCACCTCTGCCGAAGGCATCCGACCCACCTGGGCTCCGACTGCCTCGGACACTAACTTCCCACAGACAACGAGGAGGAGGTGAAGCTCTCCCCTTCCTCCCCAGGGCCATCTCTTCCCTCGTCCAGACGGGGAGAGACAGGCCTGGGGAAGGGTGATTTCTCTTGAGAGGGACGGCCTTAGCCGTCAGGAAGAGAGGTAAGACGCCCGAGTCGCCTCGTCACCCGCAGGACAGGACAGAAGAAAAGCTCTCACAGCGGCAGACTTGCCCGGGAACAGTTCCTCTGGTTTTGTCTTTCAGGAAGCTGAGGGGACGGGTGCTCGGTGTACATACCATGGACTCGTGGCTGTGGTTTCTCCACAGGCCCTTAATCATGCCTTCCTTAGGACTGTTGCAAAATAATTCATAGGTGATGGGGATATTCAACATCTCAAAAGACGCCAGGAAAGTTATACATTTCAAGTAAGATCTGGAAAACAGAGGCATTCACAGTAAGCATTCTCTTAGGCCACGTTTACACTTAAAATAAAAGCCACCATCTGGATAAATTAGGCCTGTTTGTTTTTAAATGCCTATTCTGGGTTTCTGAAAAGATCCACTGAACATACTATTAGGAAGACATCAGTTTGAGCAAGAGGCAGAAAACAGTCCGTGTCTAAAGGTCT